ATGGCATAAGCTGCTGAAACGGAAAATGTGGGACGCATACGGTTTGCAAAGTAGATGTTCAGAAAGTCGATGTGCTCTGCGGACTCGACATATTGAAGGTCCTCGCTCCGTGCTTGCTTGAGCGTGGCACGATCCACTATCCAGCGTTTGCTTCGACGAGGAAGGTTTGAACAGGATCAGAATATAGGGCATTGAGGACGGGGCTTACTTGTGTGAGCTTGCCCAGAAGTCAGTCGCCATCGGAGCATGGCGCAGCAAGCCTTGACTCGGAGGTGAGGATGACGGATGTTCCAGCGCTCGACTCGGACCGGTTGTGCAGCTCTCAACCACCACACCACACCATTACCAGCATCGCGAGATGTCTACGGTCAAATTACCAGCACCACGAAAGCGTAATAGAAAGCGCAAGCGGCGCCTGGCCTCCCCCTCCTCCTCTTCCTCTTCCTCGCCATCCTCGGACTCTTCAGACTCCTCATCGGATGAGGGGTCGAGAAAGGCGCCCCTCCAACGGGTCCCTCTCATCAAAAAGCAAGCTACGCCATCTCCATCTTCGGCTGACGAGTCGTCTCCCTCTCCGTCCCTGTCCTCGTCCTCGGATTCAGAAAACGACGACGCGCCGCACGTCGCCGGCGCACCGTCCTCGCCTCTGGCCACCTCCGCAAAAAAAGCGCGGCGTTTCTCTGATCCGGAGCCCCCCGCCGCCACCGGGAGGCGTCGATCGCCCTCGCCCTCGCCACCGCCGGCGGCCGATGTGCCGCCATTTCTGCCTCCGGAGGGCTCCAGCGATCGAGGGCAGGAGGAACAGGCGCTGCGGAACCGGTTCAGGCAGTTCTGGATGGCGTCCGTGGCGGACGCGTTTGGCGACGACCTGGAACAGATCCGACAGGTGCGTGCCTCCCCGCGAACACTTTTGCCCTTGCCCCCTTCCTTCTTCTCACTGCATTACATACACGCGTCCCCTCACGCCGGCGTGTTCAAAGGAATCGAATATGACCAAATCGCGCCTGGCGCTCCTGATCGACTCGCTCGCTTCTGGCGGCGAAGTGTTCTCATCCCATGCGGATAAAGATGGGGACCTGAATGAGATGGATGTTGTATTGAACGGCAATCGTTGTGATACCTAGCCAGTGAGTACAGTACCCTCGATGTCAGTATCTTTTCACAGGGCAGCCGCGCCGTAGGGTGCGTGGGGCCAAGATCGTATTAATATGAATGGAGGAGGTCTCCCACCCGACGGGTCTATGTGCGACGACCTGGCGGTGGGGCTGGTGGTCTGGGTACGTTTTGCACTTATGACCTTGCATCTTGCATCAACTGCCATGGCCATGGTAGCGTTACACGGATGTGAAGTTTGATATCGATTGCGTAAAAGAACAGAAGGAGAAAGGACAACACGCACAGCTGCGCGCAGCAAGTCTGAACGACGCAAAAAATTTTACGGATCGATGTAGGCGCGCGCATATTTTGTTTTTGTACTTCCAAGTGGACAATTCGACGCCGGAATCGGACAGCGCCATTGCGAGTCCGATCGATTGCGGGTTCCCTCCCCCCCCCCTCCTGACCCCTCCGACCGACAAGAAACGCGTCGACGATGTCTGCTGTGAGGGACAAGCGATCAAAAAAGATCCGGCTGGCTTGTGGCGAGGGTGCTTGTGTGTGTGCGGCCGCGCGCGTGACCACGGCTGAAAAGCGCTGGTTTTGGGGTTATAAATGGCTCGTAGTGTCCGTTTGGGTGTCGTGTTGTTGTCCCTTGTGGACAGGCCAATCGTTTTTTCGACGTTTCGATGCGGAGTCCGCGTTCCTCATCCTGTATATGATACTCCTTGTTCACGTTGCGGCAGCGTGGCAAGAAGGATCCAGGCGTGTTAAACCCGAGTCCGACGCGCGTATAAAATGAACGTCTGTTATTCGGCCGCTGATACGAATCAAATCGATTGATTGTCCGTCCCAATATGCCCTTCGCCCTCCTCTTATTTTTTTTGCCTTTCCTAATCGCGACTCAGTTGGTGTATTAGGTGCAATCAGCAAGGAGTGCTCGATGGAAGGGGATACACGGTGCACTCAGAACCGCCTCAGATCGCGATAACTGCTGATATATAAACGAGGAAACAAAGCAAGGTAGAACACTACAGCAAGAACAAGTATATACGACAATCGTCCGTGGTGCACCACTGCAAGTTCTCTCCTCATTGCAGGGACCGTCAAAATGAGAAGGTGAGAAGAAACAAACAAAAGGTATCTACTCGGAAGCTTGGAGGCGCCTCTGTTGCCTGCTCCCCCTCTTCGACGACTTCGGGTAGATTTCTTTCATCCTCTCCGAAAAAAACCTCAGTACCCTCACCTCTCCGTCCGAGTTCAAGAACCCGTCCAGATCTTCCGCAAAGTCCTCGTGGGCTTTCCGCGTCGCCGTACGCTTGTTCTCGGCCACATCCGGGCTGACGTCGAGGCACTCGGGCGGCGGGTTCTTGCGGTGCCGGACCAGCGAGTCGCCGCGCGCAAAGTAATCCCCGCACGAGTCGCAGAAGGAGATGCTGCCGAGGGTGCGCCTCCGCCGTGTCGGAGTGCCTCTTATAGTCCTCCCAATTTGAGAAATCGGCGTCGGGGCAGAGTCGGCATTTGAGTGCGCGGACAGCCCCGCGTGCCCAGTCGGCTGCCGTGGCCTCGAGCATCGACCGATGCCTCTCGTTGAGCCGCTTTGAGATTCGGAACCGATACTCTTCCGCCGCCTCCCCAGTCCTCATCGTTCGCCCTATCGGCTTCTTGTTGCCGCACCATGTCGCTTGTGTGGAGCCATGCCGCTCCCTGTTCTCTCCCCTCAACCCAAGGTAGCTCTTCCTGCGCAATTGTATTCATCGATTCCTGCTGGTCATTTGGACCCTGCAGGAATTGGATGGTAAAATTCCTTGCGCGTTCGGGGTCGCGAGCCTCTCCGCTCCACGTCCCACAACCTCGGATATACTATTCGTGACTGACAGGGTCCTGGTGGCAGGTTTGTAACGAGTCCTGTTTGTGGACCGTCCTGCATCCAAGACCCTGATCGTAGTGGCCATCTTGGCCTTGCCCTTCTGGCGCACGTGTCGTCCTTGGCTGTTATTCGCCTCTGAGCTTGCATCTTCGAGGGTATCGTCCTCGTCTCGACGTCGTTTGCCAATGAGGGTCTGCGGCACCACGAACGCGTCCTGGTTGGACGCCGGTGCGACAGAGGCGGGTAAGTAGAGCCCGGCCTGCCCGTACCCTGCTGGAAACCTGGAGGTCGCAGCGTCATTCATGGCCATCACGTCGACCCGTAGGCAGGCCACGGAACAAAAGAGAATACGTACGAAGATTCAACCCCAGCGAGACCAAACGACCCTGCGTCGTAGCCGTAGCTCGATGGCATTGGCCCTGCTACGCACTGATATGTATCCGAGTAACACAGCAGCCACGGGAAGTCGAATGGCCAGGTCGAGTTGACCCGAGAAGCGGCGGCCGGTGCCACGAATCCGTTTGGAACCGGGACCTGCCAGCATGTCAATCTAGGCGGAATCTATACGCTCGTATGATTCGTGCTCACGCTGTCCAACACCGGCGGCGGTTGGGAGGACTCGGGGGTAAGTTCAGCCCAGGAACTGTCGCTCGCTGACGATGGTACAGAATCTACTTCTGAAAAAGCTTTGGATTGCGTGAAGGCAAGCCCATAACAGAAAGGAACAATGACCTACGCGGCGTTGGCATCTCCCAAGGAGGATGAAAGTCCTGTGACGCGACAAGGCAAGTCAATTGTTGACGATTGACGACAAGACACTGTGCACGCACGGTGTTCAGATAGTCGAAACTACCAGAACCGAAGGAGTTGGGGGAAGAAATGGACGTCGCGGGGAAGGTATCATCGATGGCGGTAAACGTGCCGCCGCCATTGGGTTGGGTTCCGAAAATATCTGACAGAGTGTTCCAATCGATGTCCTGTAAAGGTGAGACGTGAATAACCTGTTACACGCCCGGGAGATGAGATGATGCCCACAGCAGAGCCGCCCGGAAGCGGGTCGAAGTTGACGGGTTGCAGATTGTCCGCGGTCTCGGACCATACGCTCGTTTGGTCCTCTTGTGGCGCGAGATATGACCACAGCGCGCTGTCGCTGGCGTTGCCAAAATCCATGAAGCGTTGATCTGTTGGGGTTGTACTGCGAGTGAGATGCGGAAGAAATTTGAGGTGTGGGGGGCGATGCGGACGTGCTTTTTAACGTGGGGGATGGGCGCTTCCCCGGCCTGGAGGCTCGCTTGCGGGGTGGCGTCTATGGTTCAGTACCTTTTCGGTACGTGGACTCCGCGTGCTTTGACCATGGTTTTCTCCGCCCGGCCGGCTAGGGATCGCCTCGTGTACTCGGTGGAGTGCTGGGAACAGCCTACCTACAGGATCTCAACGACCGCGTAAGTATTAGCGCCTGAACGCAACAGGGGAGGAACGCCACCTGCGTGTCTGGGGCACCCATCCCATCATTGTGCTGATGTGTCGGGCTTGTATCTGACAAAGGAAAAAAAAAAATCCACAAACAGTCATTGGAAAGCTTTTTTTCCCTCTTGTTCCGTCGCAAACGAGGAACAAAAGGACGTTTAGAGCGTGTCATTGGGCCCAGAAAGGCATTGAGCTGAGACGGCGCGCATAGCCTCGGAACAACCGACACAGAGCAGACCACACAAAATATCCTCCGCAAGGTGCCACAGTGACCCAAGCGCTTGGCGGTGTGGTCGTGAACGGGTAAGCTCCAGCGAGACGTTTCCGGGCCTAACCTCAGCGCGAAGTCATCCATTAACTATTTGAGGTAAATGTGAGACCATGAAGAACTCTTTAGTTCATGGCGGTTACTTTCATGCCCTAAGACAGCAGGGTTTCACTGAATACTTATCGTTGACAGTCACTCAAGGAATACGAGCAGAGCAGCTAGACAGTGCATCTGTCTGATTCTAGTGTGATGTATTTTGTCATGGTCTGGAAAATGGCATGGTCTGAACTTCAACTTGCTGGCGCTATAGTGTAGTGGCTATCACAACGGATTCTGACCTGCTAACGCCACTTTCCGTTAACCCAGGTTCGAACCCTGGTAGCGCCTTTCTTTTTCTCCGTACTCTATGGCGGGTTATGACCTTCAGTGGTATCACTGAGCCGTAGTACTGTAGTGACCACGCAACGTGTTATCTCCCGTGTCAAGTTATGGTGTCCAGAATCATTCGACTTTGGCGATGATCCGAGTGTTGCAGCTATACAGTATAATTATAACTCAGTCTTCTGTATAAAAGACTGTGTTGGGCTACTAAGCTAACGTATAGAATTATAACTATGTACACTATTAGCTTTAAATGGAGTGTGTAGTACTGACCTCAGTCTTCTGTATAAAAGACTGAGGAAAAGGCGAATGATAACTAATCGAATTATTTACACGTACGGTCCGGATTGTCCGTTCGCGCGGCACTAAGCGGCTGCACGTCCAACACCGAGTCGGTCCAAGGACTGCAACCTCACTAAATGCTTTGCTACGAACTTGTCCTGGTGATCGCTAGAGCATGCGAAAGTGCCCTCGCCCAATGGCGAGTTAGTTGCGATTCGCGGTAAGTGCGGCTTGGTGGCGGAAAGACATTTTGCATAGCTTTAATGAGAACGACCTAAACGAGGGTCATCTGTTGCCACCACCGCCTGGTTTCTAGTTTCCCCGAGCCATGACCGCCAACAACTGGATGTGTCGTTTGACATTCGGATAAAATTGCTGATGACAGGACGTAGGAGGAGCAAGTACTACCTGCGCAACAACGGGAAGATTCATTCCATCATTCCGGCGTCTGGCGGGCCTAGGAAATCCAGCTGTATACACAAAAGGGATGCGGTGAACGCCACCGTTTCACCACGGCGCTTCCATGATAACTCCCACCAATCCCTCATTATCGGCTTCATACATCAACTTAGTGTGAAGGCGCTTACTTGTATACCGTCGTATCATCTACGAAGTTGGCTACAATATTCTTCCGTGGATCGTCGCTACCACCGGTACTACTTCCACGCCGCGGGCAGCGTAAATTCTCTATTTTTCCGAGTGGAATCCCCGCTCTACATCGACTTGTGGCGATGTCCAATGTCGTCAAGCCCAACGAACCCATCTCATCACCAGCAAACTTCAGCCACTTTCTTTCGGAGCAGAAATCGGGGTACCTCCGAGCCGTGGAGGAGGGTGAGATGAAAAAGAATATATGGACAATTTCTATGGGCAATGAGGCTGGCGGTTTGTTTACAATGTTGGTAGTTCATACTCCTGACTTCCTGATGAGTCAATCTGCCTTTAGATCTCGACTCGCTAGCAAGTGCCGTTTCGTATGCGTGGTATGCCTCCCGCCATCTTGGGCAACCGACGGTACCACTTCTACAAACGGTCCGTGTCGACCTCCCACTCCGCGCAGAGAACCTATACGCGCTCGAGTTCAGCGGTGTCGATCCTACGGATCTACTCACAGGCGATGAACTCTTGGCCGACTCACCACCCGCCGTGAAGTATGCAATAGTGGATCATAACACACTCGCGGGACGCTTTGCAGCGGACGACAATGCGCGTGTGGTCGCGATCGTGGATCACCATATGGACGAGCATCACCACCTTGACGCGTCGCCGCGCATCATCGAAGTGCCCACAGGCTCGTGCTCCTCGCTGATCGCACGTCTGATCCAGAAAGAATGGCCCGAGGGAATGAACCGTGCCGTTGCACGGTTGTTGCTCTCTGCGGTATTGATCGATACAGGCGGACTAAAGGCTGGCGGAAAGGCGGAAGTTACCGACCGGGGTGTCGCGCCATTCTTGCTTGAGAAAGCGGAGCTCGGGGACCTAAGCCTAGGGGCGGTAGTGGACGTGAAAGAGGTCAAAGACCTGACGCAACTCCTGGAACTTAGGAAGTCAAGCGTTGACATGCTTAGCCCACGGGATCTTATTCGAAGGGATTACAAGGAATATCGGTTCGTTCCCGCGTGGAAGGCAGAAGGGACGGTTCTTATTGGGCTAGCAAGCGTTCCAAAGAGCATTACAGCAATTGCCGGGGACAAAAAAGGCAGACGGGCGCTGGCGACAGCCTGGATTGGATGGCTTACGGAGAGGGGTCTGGACGCGCTCGGTGTGTTGACGAGTTGGAGAGATGGAGAGAAAGAGGGAAGCAAGGGAAAACACCGGAGAGAGATGGCTTGGGTGGTTCGGAATGACAAAGAGTTGAAGAAGCGGTTGTGGAAGGGGTTGGAAGACAGCGAGGAGTTAAAAGTGTCGCGAAAGAAGATGGGCGGGATGGAAGGGGCGGGCGGTGAAGATCTCAAGATTCGAGTGTTTGAACAAGGCGACGCCCAGGCGACACGCAAGGTGATCGCGCCACTCGTTAAGGCAATCGTCGAAATTTAAATAATTAAAACCAGTAGTTAGGTATACGTAATTCCGTGAAATTACCCAGTTAAATGCGCCATACGTAATACGACTATTGCCTCGTTTAATCTCCCGGCGCCCTTTTGACCGCCCCCCTCTCCTCTCTCTCCCTTCGATCCATTTTCCTTCCCCCCTCCTCTCCCCCTTTCCTTTGTCTTGCGGTGCAAAGTCCTGTAAACAATGGTTCAGCCAACGGATGCACCGTCTCCCGCACCAGACGAATCTACTCCAACTTCTACTGCTCCTTCCGCTACTGCTCCCTCCTCCAGTCAACAGCCCCCAACGCCTAAATTCTCAAATGGACTGTCAGTCCGCCTCCTCCTCTCCTGGTCTATCTAATGTATCCTGCGTTCAGACATATACGCTCGCGTATAACAGTCGTATGTGCAGAGGTATGCCAGCCTCTATGTTGGCCTCGTCCCTGCCATACTAAAATAAACTAGTGCAAGCGTTTGAAGCTAAGATGCGACAGGCGCAATCCCTGTGGCTCCTGTGTAAAACGCGACACTGTCCAGCGCTGTCAATACTCCCCTGCTGCTGCAGAGAAGATGTCCGTCCTCCTTTCTCCCCTCCCTCCCCCCTCATTCTGACCGCATATCTTCAGCGACGTGCAGTCGCTACACAACCGACTTCAAATTGTTGAGTCTCAGATTGCCCAAATATTTGCTGGTGGATTCCGCGTGCCTACTGCACTGGCTAGCGTCTCCTCAGACAACTTTCCTTTCCCTCATAACGACCGCACCATTCTCGCTGTCGGCCACTCTGGCTCTTCCGTCACCGTGTCACTCGATGACGTCGCTGCTCTTTGGCTCGAGCATCTCGACTTTCCTCGGTCATGTACCCTCGACATGAATACTTCCTGTACACCCTCCTCGTTATCTTCCATGCCTGTCCGGCTGGAGCCTTGCTCGACAGACCTTACCCTGCATAATGAACCTCCCTTCGCCGCCACACTCCCGTCCTTCAATATTTTTTATCCGACTTCCACGGGTCAAGCTGCTGTCACCCCTCCCTTAGTTGATTTATTACCTTCTGCCTCTACGACACGGTCGCGCATCCATAGTGCAATCGAGGAGACCATGAAAACGCGTCCGTGCTTTAATATGAAGCATTTTCGTGCTCGGACCGAGAATATGTTTTTTTGGGCTAAGGAAGAGGATGGGCGAAGTTCTGGGGCAAGCGCAAATAGCTCGAATGCAAAAGCTGATCTTGCGAGGTCCATCTTCTTCCCGACATCTCATCCCCCTCCTTCCGCTGCCCCGGTATCACGACCGGTTCCCACTCTTTCATTCTTCGCTTCCGTCTCAGTCGCGTATGCCCTAGGCGTATTGGTCTGTAAAGAGAATGAGGCAGTCAACGATATCGACGCTCAAAAGGCGAGCATGGGTCCGAAAAATCCTCGCTTGGAAGATAATCGTACCACTAATTCCCAGAAAGCGGCGACTTGGGCGAAGTACTCCGCAACTGGATTATTTGCCTTGTCAAGGCAAGCTGTCGCTGCCTTTGAGATGGCACATACGTACGACCTGGATTCGGTGATTACATATCTGTTACAAATTGTCTACCTGCTCCACGATAGCAGGCCCCGTGTTGCACACATGATCTACCCTCTCTTGGGTAAAGTGATCAATATCGCTCATATGATGGGTCTTTCCACGGATCCGGATGAGTTCCCTGGCAAGTTCAATCTGTTCGAAGCTGAGGAGCGGAGGCGTGTTTGGTGGGATATCTATTATTACGATGTGTAAAGTCGTCTTCTCGCTTCTGTGCCTCGCTTACGCTCCCGATCTGGCAGATTCATCTCCGATGCTATGGGCCAAGCGCCTTCGATACAGGATGGCACGTTCACGACGAAGCTACCTGCCGATGTTGACGAGGAGCAATTTGGGCCTTCCTCGACTTCTTTACCCCTCCCCCTTCCCCGTCGGGCCGGCGGCGATCCCACCGAAGTCGGCTTTGCTTATTTCATTCAGAAGTGTCGGTTAGTCGTGGCCCCTCTAACTTCTTTCTGGCTGCTAACATGTTATTAGCCTCGCACAGCTTGTCAAGGGTGTCCAAAGGCGATGTCCACGTGACAATCCTAACGACTCTTCAGATTCATCGGCTGAGCGCGCAGAAACCTTCGAGTCTGAAGTCAAGAGTTGGTTGTCGGAGCTCCCAAAAGTCTTCCGCTTTGACGCAAACAGTGTCGAATCCACGCCGTCCTCCAAATTCACCATTTCCCCACATCTTCAGGCCCAACGCTGCGAACTTGCAATTATCGCAAATCAACTCGTCCTGAAGGTGTTCCTTCCGTATCTTAAGAATTGCAATGGACCATCGTCCGATGGCCTCCCATGTCGTGTAGTCTCAAGTGTCGTCGACGCGGGGCACATCGTTCTTCAGGCTATACGCGTCCTCCACTTAACTTGGCGTCAAAGCCAGCCCGCTGCTTTCTTATTCTATCCTTTGGGGCGCACATTATTCGACACAGCTGTAATGATGGCCTGTGCGGTAATCGCCCACCCGTCAAGTGCATCCTCCACTGTTGCGATCGCTGACATATCCACTGCCATTGACATCATGCAAGATACACGCATGGGATATGGAAGGAGGTCTAAACAAGACGATCATAAGGATCTGCCAGATGCAGTGAAGATTGTTATGCTATTGAAGATGAAAGTCGA